TTGTTGTTCCGAACTGGATAAACACAGTCTTTACTGAGACGAGATCTCCACATCAGTACATGTGATGATGTCTAAGCAAATATGTTATAGTTCAAAGTCTTCGACTATAAATCTGCTGTGTTAATATGACACATAGTGTAGAGACATTGGAATTAATTAGACGTTCAACGTTCATTTTTCTCAATATTGTGAGAAATGTGTTGTGTTTATATTGTTTCTGGAGAAATAGTTATTAAGAACTTATAAAACTCTCTTTAGCACTTATGGGCGTATGTTTATTTATTTTGTGTGAGAATGTTTTACTTTTGACAGCATTATACGTCTGTAAACCATATCAATTTAGATCTGAAGGTTGTAGCTCGCAGGTCATGTGACACTAGCGTAATGTATCTTCCAAACGAGTCTGTCTCAATGTCCCACATTAATTTCCCTACTGCCAAGCCCTCTCTGCAGTGCTAAAGCCCTAAATAAAGCAAGTCTAGATTTCCTCAGTTTCAGGTTCTGAAACTCTGGTCTCTCTAAGGCTCCTTTTCAATATAAATGGACTTGTTTGTTACTATCAAAATTATATATATTCAGAGACTAAGCCTTAGTCTACTTCCAAACGCACGTGGCCTGAAGTAGAAAATCACCCTGCAAATGACCTTGACCGACGTTCATCGGAGTTCACAAATCAGAATAGGAACAAATTTTCTCTTTCACCTTGCTTGCCTTGAGCCTGAACTGAAAGCTACCTTTGTAGATGTCCTAATGCCTTTGACACTGGTCAGCCAATGTATTGACCAGTGACTGAGATACGGTCATGATGTACAGGGCTGTGAGATAGCCCTGTTGTTAACGACCCATGTTTGATTCCCCACTTACTGACCGCCTCCGTGGTGTAGTGGTTAGAGCGTCCGCCCGAGAGAGTGGAAGGTCGCGGGTTCGATCTCCGACCGTGTCATACCAAAAGACGTTAAACTATGGTACTTTGGTCCCTGCCTGGCGCTCGGCATTAATGGGCAAAACAAGGAAGGACTGGTCGGCTCGGAGTCAGTATAATGTGTCTGAGTGGGGTATTCATGCTTCACTGCGGCATGGTATCTCAGTGGGCTAGCACTATAAAACCAGCTTTAGTCTGGGCTAGCACAAGCAGCCGCACATACACATACACACGCATGCCCGTCGTCATATGAGCGAAATATTCTCAAGCACGACGTTAAACCCAATTTCACCTCACCTCAAGCACTTACTCTCTCACTCATTCACTATCGCTTCAACTCACTCACTCACTCATCAAATCACTTATTAACTCACTCAACCCCGCTGCAATTCACTCCGGCTAACGGGATCGGTTGGTCAGGCTCGCTGACTTGGTTGACTCATGTCATCGTACCCCAGTTGTGTAGATCGATGCTAATGCTGTTGATCACAAGATTGTCTGCTCCAGCCTCGACTATTTACAGACCGCCGCCGTACAGCTGGAATAGTGCGGCGTAAAACAAACACACTCACTCACTGACTCACTCATAAAGTCAATAGGAGTGAATTTAACACGTTGACATGCAAGAGGCTGATGGGTACACTTGTGATTAAAGTCTTCGCCTCATCACGTGATACCCAGCTCTGACACTCACCATCACATTCATGACGGGTTCTCTGTGGTCGCACGAAGGGAGGTAACATACGGTATTTTATCCACGCTTCGCAGATGGAACGTGCATCAGGTACAAAAAAATATTATATATACTTAACGCCAAAAGAAACGTTACCCTCCTTCCTTAATGACGGATGTACTTATCTTCAGCTCGCGTAGTGATGCGTGGACGTCCACTTCTTGGTCTGGGTGATCCCAGTCTGAAGCCCTGAATAAGTCTTATAACCGTGATACGGTGGCATCCAAGGGCGTTGGCAACAGCATTGTACGTCGACCCCATCTGCACCATCCCAATGGCTCTTTCTCTCCCTTCAGCTGTTAATCGTGGCATATTTCTCGTACTTGTGTATCAGATCATGTCTTCTAGGCTCTCTTTATACTCTACAGAATCATTCTACATGTGAAATGGATGTAAATACTGCTTGAATATTGCTGCGTTTTGGCGACTGATATTGCTATGTGTAAACAGAAAATGGAAAAATGTTACTTTGCAAGCAAAAGTGTTAACAAAGATAATTTTAGATGTTCCTAAACATTTTTCACAATTTCAAAGACACGTTTTACTTGTTTTCACTCATGCAAATCAGCAGAAAATGTTTTAAAAGACTGTAATCACAGCAACGATTAGTTTACAATTCTACACACTCTACAACAGTTGTTTCTTGTTTTAATAGGTGAAAAATGGTGACTTTAAATGGTTTATCATTGTCCCAAAGCAGAATTTTATTTCAAACTTTCTTTTGTACCTGAAAATCACTATTATTGGTTTATTTCGGCATTGCAGAATATAGGACAATTTAACTCATTTAGATGCATTTCACCAAAATATGAATGCATTTGAGATTCTTTTTCGTGATTTGCATAAATTCATAAAGGTAGGAGGGTAACGTTTCTTTAGGCCTCTAGTGTATGTGCACATTCATTTCCTTACATGGCACGGTGTGATCGAAACTTAAATACGTTTTAGACAGCGGTCCCGACTAGTGGGTTATAGCAAGAAAATACACAGAAAAGGTTGATAGAGAAAGATATGTCAATGTGTCCGGTACTATTAAAACTCCTGTTTGGACAGAAAGTTAAAGAGTAAAAAAAGAATAGAAGCAAACAATTTCCATTACATAGGAAATCTGAACTTAAAGCTGAGTCATGCACGTGTTATGATTGATAATGTCCGGTTTTAACATATTCTTAGATATTATTAATGGGGTTGAGATTCAATGTATGACCTCGTGTGAGTTCAACGTCCACCATAAATCATTTTTGAGGACATGGATGTTGAACTTTAGTGCAAGACGGACTGACTGAGTTTGGTTTTTACGCCGCTTTTAGCAATATTCCAGCAACATCACGGCGGGGGACACCAGAAATGGGCTTCACACATTGTGCCCATGTGGGGATTCGAACCTGGGGCATCGGCGTGACGAGCCAACGCTTTAACCATTAGGCTACCCCACCGCCCCTTTAGAGCAAGAGACGTATGGTTAACGTTCTCTGAAATCTCCGAGAACGTTCCTGCTCGACTGCTCGATCGATCAAGGGAGGGAGCTGCTGGAATCTCGCTCCTCCACATCCGTCTAGTTTTTGTCTTTAAGCATAGCTCGAAATACGAAAAGACAGAAGTCGTTTCTCTGGCCTCTTGCATTTCTATGGTGACAGAGAAGGTAAGAGAACGGCTGCGACAAAGCGATGGCCCTTCTCGGCCTCCATACATTTCTCGTTCAGGAGGGTATATCAGCTGAAGCGGCGTTTTGACAGTACATGTAATTGTATTGAATAACATTGATCAGTGAGGAACACCAAGGGTAGATTGGAATATTTTACTGCCACTTCACATCAAGCGTTGTCGTACCCTCGTGTGCAGGTAGATATTCTTGACAGATTTGATTATTTCAGTGTATTGAGATTTACCAAACCGTATCATTTTCTTTGTTACTGTTCTAATCCGCACTCAGCATGATTCCAGCTATATCCGATCTGTAGATAATCGACAGACAATATCCAGTGACTGGCATCATGAGCTTTGATCTCGGGGTGGAAAGGTCTTTCAGTATCTTCTACTGCAATATTGGTAACCGTTAGGACCCTTTTCAAAACTTTGATATGAGATAAAAAAAATCTAAATTCCATAGGTTTAGCGGGATGGGGGTGTTGACGGTGCGGGACAATGATCCTGGGCCCCGTTTCTCAAAGCTCTCGTAAGCCTAAGATCTCGAAACTTTTCTCGTAGCATTCGTACCTCCTATGTTACAGTATAGGAGATTCGAATGCTACGAGAAAAGTTACGAGATATTAGGCTTACGAGAGCTTTGTGAAACGAGGCCCTGCTAGTTTTCCATCATACAAAATAAGTTATCACACTTCTCAACGTTCTATATAGTAACTGAAACAAGCAAACCTCCCATTCTGTTTCACCGATCGTATATTTAAGTACAATTGTGCAAACTGTGAACTTTCCCATGAGTATTTGTCATTCCCTGTTTAAACATTCCAGAATATTGTTCATATTTTATTAACACATATGGACTAGTATCAAATTGTTTGTCGTTCTTTACGCCAGTATGTTTTTGAGTATTGCAAGGAATTCAATATTAAATGGTATGAAATTTTAACCTACAGTGAACACAAATGTTTTGAACAAGAAATAGGTCAAAATGGTCAGAAAAGTCACTCTCTTCTGAAGGTTATGTTTCAGCTATTCTGATAAGAATGCGATTTAGAAGTTTAGTTATGACGCAGGGATGAGTGTAAACTTAAAGAAGGAGTTATGGCTTCTTGAAATAATGGTACCTAAATCGGTTCATCTGAAACTTCAGTTAGCCAGACTTGCGAACTATCATAGACTTTCAAGGGCTTTATTTGTACCAACATTTGTTTCAGGTTCTGTATGACTGACTGAGTGAGTTTGGTTTTACGCCGCTTTTAGCAATATTCCAGCAACATCACGGCGGGGGAACACCAGAAATGGGCTTCACACATTGTACCCATGTGGGGATTCGAACCCGGGTCTTCGGCCAGACGAGCCAACGCTTTAACCATCAGGCTACCCCACCGCCCCTGGTTCTGTATGAAATACTACTTGATATTTAGACGTGTAATATACAAATGACTTGCCTTTTGAGGGAAAAGGAGGAGGGCGCCTTGCACATTAAAGAAAACAATATAGAGAATTTGAACACGTCACCATATGGCTCCTTTCAGTATGGCGCCATGATGAGTCTACTTCTGAAGGTGAGAGGGAGGGATTACCTCCCTTGAAACCGAGATACAGGCCCGATCAGTCGCCTGGGCACCTGATTCAGTAATGAAAGTGCCAGAGTGCATAGATGTGTCAAATCACTATTAAACAAAAACAGAATATATTTCATCTTGTTTGCATCACAAAATGTATAATGGGTATATTTACATTGTCAACAGGCACATTACACGTAAATAGATACATATTCAGTATCAAGCGGATCAAGAATACAAAATGTTGAAATTTTATGTGATACCAAAGGCTGAAACAGGGATATGTTTCTCGGGAATCGATGCGTCTCTAAATCATGGCATCAGTTGTACGCATCAAGCATTCACTCTTGCTTCAAAAGGTATAAGAATCTATACGGAAACGTCGCATCATGGTATATAAAGTTGTCATCCATAAGGTATCATGCCTTTCTTATTATTCACCAAGTACTAAACTGCCAATCAAACAGAGCATCAACCATTGTTGACAATTTACATCACGGGACATATGAATCACAATCAATTATCATTAAAATGAATTCACTGACATGAACATGAACGTTTTGATTGGTTGGTTGGTTGTTGTTTAAGGCCGCACTCCAGTTCTATTATGGCGGTCTGTTATACTGGACTCTCGACCAGACCATCAGGTTTCTGACACCATCACATATCCGCACTCGATGCGAGACCACCGGGCCCTACCTACTGGTCCCGTTAATCGGCAATGAATGTCGTTCCTTCGTCCACATGTTTGGTTAATATTTTGAACAACTAATTTCTAATGTTTGGGTTATGTACAGTTTGTATTCGCTCTGACTGTACAAAAGTTACAGATGCATTATTTCCAGTCCAGTTCTCTGAACAATTTTCTGTCCGCACAAAATTAGCATTTTATATTAGGTCCATGTTAAACATGGATATGGAATTCCTTCTATCAACGTTCATGTCAGCGAAGTGAATACTCAGTTCAGAGGTACGTCTACCATTTCCAGAATCCTGTGAACTTCCTCGTGGCGGTTGTCCTCCAGATGACCTTGACACCGTATCTCGATCTGACCTTTCTGTGTCTGTCCCGGACTCTTTTCCTAGCCCACCACGTGTTCCAACATCCGTACTGCCCTGTCCGTAGCGTGTCATGTCACCACCAGCTCCGTAATGACCCGTGGACGTATTGAAGGGGTTAGTAGTCCCAGGGACAGATAACCGACTGTATGGAGGTGGAGGTTCTGTAGCTTGGGGAGGCATTGGTGTGGCACACCAAACTGAACCGCCCTTACTAAAGTCAGATGGGTTGGTGTTATGGGTCCATGCCTCTCCAGCTGAATATGGAGGACCGGCTTTGAACCTGATATTTGCTGTGTGTTGTCCTTCTGTTGAGGTTTCCTGGACATTGGTGTTAGATGCGCTGACCTTCGCCTTCTGATGCTTCCTTTAACAAAGAAATATTACTGAGTGAGTGAGTGTGTTTAGTTTTACGCGCACTCAGCAATATTCCAGCTATATGGCGGCGGTGTGTAAACAATCGAGTCTGGATCAGAGAATCCAGTGATCAACAGCATGAGCATCGATCTACACAATTGGGATACGATGACATGTGTCAACCAAGTCTGCGAGCCTGACCATCCGATCCTATTAGTCGCTTCTTACGACAAGCATGGGTTACTGAAGATCAATTCTAACCCGGATCTTCACGGATGAAACATTACTGACTGCTTGAGTTATGATATCATAGTATTCTGAAGTTACTCTTGTAAGTAACGAATGTTTACACATGCTTCACCCTAATATTTTGAAATTAAAATAAGAACGATTTAGCTAAATTGCTTTATTATATACTCATGTAAACTTAGGACAGTAATACAGGGGTGCAATACGGATGAAAATTCCGTATTGCACCTCAGATTCCGTGTTAAACCCCTGCCAGTTCTGTTTTATTAAGTAACAGATTAATGCAAGATAAGAAGGTATATAATATAGAACGCCATACTGGTGCATTTGGATGTTTCGTATTGAACGAGAAGATGTCAGGGGAGCAGAGAAACAACGAGTTCGAAGGAGCTCTTCGAACTCGTTTCTTTGCTCCCATGACATCTTCCCGTTCAATACAAAACATCCAAATGTACTAGTATGACGTTCTATATATGTTTATCTGCGATGCACACGTGGACCATTCTTTATCACTTCAGAACCGCACTCACCATTTCCTGTAGAAGTACGCAGCAACAACCACTGCTACGACTGCTACGACAGAGGCCACAACACCCGCAACTACAGCCAATGGGAAATCTGAATAACAAATGTGTAAGACAGATATGGTTTGAATAGTAATCAGTTGTATAATCAGAGTTTTATCTTAAAACCAATCTTACATCGAACTCCAAACAGTACAATGACGTTTTGTTTTCGTTTTATTTTTGGTTTGGTTTTGTTATTTTGTGTTTGTCTTTTTTTATTTGATTGTTTGTTGTTTAGCGCCTCGCTAGTAATATTCCAGCACTAACATGGTGGTCTGTAACAATGGAGCCTGGACCAGACAATCCAGTGATTGACATCATGATCATTGATCTATGCAGTTGGGATACGATGACATGTGTGAACCCTGACAGCGAACCAGACCACCCGATACCGTAAATAGCCACTTACGACAAGCATGGTTTGCTGAAGACCATTTCTAATCCGGATTTTCACAGGTATGAATTAACTAGTAAGAGGAATATTTTTGGAATGATCAAAAGTATTTCAGCAACTGTTACATAGTAATTGCATGTGGCATTGCCTGTGTGTGTGTTGTTTTCACACTGCACTCAATATAACGTCAGCCTGGTAATATTCAAATCCTGATCAGACAAACTAGTGGTGGATACTATGAACAACAACGCCAGTACGTCGACAAGCCATCAGCCTAGTCACCGAACCCCATCCAACGACCAGCAACTAATGTTCCCAGTGTTTGTCGGTATGTTGCTTTTGTTTTATTTGGTGTTAGACGACTTTAATTCTTGTGACATAAATTTACTTTGAAATGACTACTGTCCTCAAAAAATATTAAATCCAAGAGTTTCAAACAAATGACATATTTTGTAATATTAGAAGGAATGTATAGTCTTCACGTTACCTTGAGGAACATGCACATCAACTGAAAATATAAGTGCCACAAAAAGATGAGATCAACATCATAGAAAGTACACATAATGCATATATAAACGATTTTAATGGAACAAAACCTATGTTAAGTGAAGTTGATAAAAGGGAGTCGATAACTCGGGCAAAGGAATACTAGTCGTGAAATATGTCCCTCAACATGTCATGGTCTATACTCCACGGTCTTTCAAGACAATGTTGCTATAGTTACCGTCGCTTGGTTGAGTAGCCGCTATTTTTAACCAACCAATAAAGTCACAGCCTGGTTTCAGCCAGAGCGAAACCGACGGGTGCTAGGACCAAATAGGGCATACGTAACTCTGCACTATTGTGCATTTCTTTCTTTCTTTTTCTTTTCATTTTTGTAATTAATATTTTATTTCTGAGTCCCTGTTACATACAAAACCAGATACCCAGGGCAGTGCTTGGTTCATATCAGATATGAAACATGGGCAACATTAGAAGATACAAGCAAGATTATATAGGAGTATAAAGCAAAAATATTGTTATCTATCTATCTATATTTATCTGTTAGTGAGGTTCAGATTAAAGGTATGACATTATGGGCTAAGATATGTTTGAAATTTAACGCTGACACAGACACTCATTCACACTCAGCTTCACTCACATTCAGCACTAAACTATAACAAGTTGTACCAAAGCCACATCAGAACATACATTTAAGCAATCTAGAATTGCACTCATTAAATCAAGACCACCTGGCAGTAGATATCGACATATGTACATCAGCTAGTTCATGGTACAATCCACTAAGTACATAACTTCGCTTGTTGGCCTTTGCTATAAGCAATATTTCTTTCATTGATATGCCTGTTGGGATATAATGTTTAAAGTGTTTCATATCTAAAGTTGTTTTCACAACTTTTATACATTTATAGATAATGAATTTATCTGAAAGCAAAGGTCAAACTAAAGTAGGTCAAACACATCAGTATATATATTTCAGTATATATATATATCAGATCAAACAGAATAAGCTGAAGGTCAAATTTCAAATTATGGATTTGTGGGCGCTTATCATAAAGTAAAGGTACTGATTGTAATCAGTGTTATTGATTCAACTTTACATTGAAACAAAACCCAAGAATTACACTCAGTTAAGTTGATTTTATATAAACATGAGTTAGTTGATAGTTACTGAAACCATCTCAACTCGGCATCTAAAGTAGTCTTATATAAAAATATATTTTCCCACTTTCAGCAGAGAGAACACATTCCTCACACTTCAGATTACATTTTAGAAGAGTATCACATGCATTCAAGATAAAATATTAACACTTCTTAACTCCAACACCTTTCCTAACTGATAGCAGTTTCCTGACAACAGGATTATCATCCAGTTGGACAAAAGATGTGGGTTGACATATGTTCAACTCATCCTGGTATTTTCTTTATAGCCTGGGTTAACCCTCGATAAAGAAGGAAGTTGGTATTAAGTTGAAAAGTGCATTGGATTTGTTCAAGAGTTAGTTAGTTTCCTTCAGGATTTATCTCGTACTTGGCTGATACCTCTATCAAACCATTTAGAATAAAAGATAATCTCTTTACCAATGGTGATATCTTTGTTGTAAAGTCATCAAATGACCCAGGCGGTATATTCTTTGAGAACTTATCAAACGCAAAGACAGTATCCAACCCAAAAACATTATTGATTTTATAATGCTTTAGCTCGAAAAGTACTGCCTTTCCATTTTGATTCAGTTTTCTCATACAAGATAGCTTCAATTAACTAACATAGGACAAGACTTGAACCATACCAAGACCATTCTCTTTCATATGTTTACACGTATCTGGTTTCCCACTCCAATGAAATGTAATTAACATTTTATTCAACTCCTTCAGGAAATAACCAGGAGGGTTAGGTAGTGCTAGTAATAGTAAGTTTAATTTTGAAAGGAATAAAGCCTTGATAACAGCAATTCTACCGAGGAGAGTAGTGATTCTTTTCATTCATCTTTTATTATTAAATGAATTTTAAAAAATTATATCTGTTGAAAAAACAACTCCTAGTAACCATTCTGGATTCCACTCAATATTTGTCAACCTTGCTCTATTATTCTTCCTGGAACCTTTCAATATGACTTGAGATTTGTCATTATTGATTTTAAGCCTGCCATGTCAGCAGACATGTCTATTGTGTCAACTGTAGCTTCAAAAGATTCTCGAGAATCTCCTAATATAAACGCTATACCATCTGCATTTTGTGATAACAGGTATTCTTCCTCTCTTACTCTACGTGCTGTGATAATCACATTTTCCTGACAAATCCTGCATTGTCCATTTCTTGTGCCACAGCCTACTTATTGCTTCCCTTTTAGGCAATCGTAGGGATCGCACATTTCATGCGATTTACTTATATTTTTTTTATTTACTTCCTTGAGGCATGCACGCAAATCGTAGATACGCTTCATATTTCACAAGCCCAATGTATTCACGGGTGACTGATTTACGTGGTAAACACAATGAACCACTGAGTGTATTGCATCGTACCTGTACATTCCTCTATACTCAAGGAAGACCTCCCGGGTGTGGACTTGCCCTTGGGACATGCATGACAAGATGTCGCCGCCGTGATGTTGCTGTAGCGGCCAATGTCACATCGTTCACAGTAGCCATCGATATAGAAGGTTCCAGGACCACAAGGAACTAAATAACAAACGTTGAATTGTGTCTTGAGATCCCTTCGAATTTATTATATACTCAGTTCTTAAACATTTCATGAACGTGACAGGATATATGTAAATACTGTCAATACGGATTAAAAAAAACCCTTTACATTTCATTAATCAGATTTCCGTTTCAAATAATTCGGTTACCTGAGTAAGCGGCCAATAGTTTAAAATATCACATTTTATTAATCACATTTCCATTTAAAATATTTCTGAATAAATCAAATTCGGTTACCTGAGTAAGCGGCCAATAGTTTTAAATATCACATTTTATTAATCACATTTCCATTTAAAAGATTTCTGAATAAATCAAATTCGGTTATCTGAATAAGCGGCCAATAGTTTTAAATATCACATTTTATTAAGCACATTTCCATTTAAAAGATTTCTGAATATATCAAATTCGGTTCCCTGAGTAAACGGCCAATAGTTTTAAATATCACATTTTATTAAGCACATTTCCATTTAAGATATTTCTGAATAAATCAAATTTGGTCATCTGAATAAGCGACCAATAGTTTTAAATATCACATTTTATTAATCACATTTCCATTTAAGATATTACTGAATAAATCAAATTCGGTTATCTGAATAAGCGGCCAATAGTTTTAAATATCACATTTTATTAATCACATTTCCATTTAAAATATTTCTGAATAAATCCAATTCGGTTATCTGAGTACGCGGCCAATAGTTTTTAGTATCACATTTTATTAATCACATTTCCATTTAAAAGATTTCTGAATAAATCAAATTCGGTTATCTGAATTAGCGGCCAATAGTTTTAAATATCACATTTTATTAATCACATTTCCATTAAAAATATTTCTGAATAAATCAAATTCGGTTATCTGAATAAGCGGCTAATAGTTTTAAATATCACATTTTATTAATCACATTTCCATTTAAAATATTTCTGAATAAATCAAATTCGGTTATCTGAATAAGCGGCCAATAGTTTTTAATATCACATTTTATTAATCACATTTCCATTTAAAAGATTTCTGAATAAATTAAATTCGGTTATCTGAATAAGCGGCCAATAGTTTTAAATATCACATTTTATTAAGCACATTTCCATTTAAAAGATTTCTGAATAAATCAAATTCGGTTATCTGAGTAAACGGCCAATAGTTTTAAATATCACATTTTATTAAGCACATTTGCATTTAAAATATTTCTGAATAAATCAAATTCGGTTATCTGAATAAGCGCCCAATAGTTTTAAATATCACATTTTATTAAGCACATTTCCATTTAAAATATTTCTGAATAAATCAAATTCGGTTATCTGAGTAAGCGGCCAATAGTTTTTAATATCACATTTTATTAATCACATTTCCATTTAAAAGATTTCTGAATAAATCAAATTCGGTTATCTGAATAAGCGGCCAATAGTTTTAAATATCACATTTTATAAATCACATTTCCATTTAAAATATTTCTGAATAAATCAAATTCGGTTATCTGAATAAGCGGCCAATAGTTTTAAATATCACATTTTATTAAGCAAATTTCCATTTAAAATATTTCTGAATAAATCAAATTCGGTTATCTGAGTAAGCGGCCAATAGTTTTTAATATCACATTTCCATTTAAAAGATTTCTGAATAAATTAAATTCGGTTATCTGAATAAGCGGCCAATAGTTTTAAATATCACATTTTATTAAGCACATTTCCATTTAAAAGATTTCTGAATAAATCAAATTCGGTTATCTGAGTAAACGGCCAATAGTTTTAAATATCACATTTTATTAAGCACATTTCCATTTAAAAGATTTCTGAATAAATCAAATTCGGTTATCTGAATAAGCGGCCAATAGTTTTAAATATCACATTTTATTAATCACATTTCCATTTAAAATATTACTGAATTAATCAAATTAGGTTATCTGAATAAGCGGCCAATAGTCTAAAATACCCACAGTAAGAGGTACATAAATATTGCTTGCAGCATATAGATGCATTTTCAGAATATTGCATTTTCATTGTGTTCTCATTTATTCCACAGTAGATCAAAGATAGGGACCTGGCGGACATACTGAAAAGGCAATCTTAAGACGCAAGAAAGGATTTTAGCAGGAGTTATCTAGCCAAATCGGAGAAGAAAATGTTGTGTTCATGGACGCAAACAGTGAACAAAGAAATACTTAGCTGACCTTTCAGGTTGGAACAGCAAAGACGCGATGCAAACACAACCAAATTGCACTTACTGCAGTAGAATTCAACTCTGGTCCATCCAGCACGGCAGGTGGCGCTGCCGACAATAGTCGGGGATCCTGTCAGAAAATAGTTCATGCCATCCAGCTTCACTGTAAAGTTCCCGGCTGACGCGGAGAAGGTCAGTTGATTCACGGCCCTGTGAAGTCCCTCGACAGACGTTTGTAGGCCTTCTGTTGTGTACAGAGATCTCGACATGTTACAGTCAGCTATGGTTATAGCGAACACGCTTATATGGAACAGATTTTCTGTGTTCCGACCACTTACTGAACACTGTAGTTAAAATGCGAAAACGAACTAAAAATTAGAGGTCCCTTTGAGTTCGTTATAACCGTAGTCTACTGTACTATATATATACATGTACATTGTTTTACTCTGCATGTGGCGCCCCAGAAGACTGTTCATTATCCATCGTCCGATGGATATTGAACAGTCTTCTGGGGTGCCACAATTCACAGACATGCCCAGATTCAACGTGGTTACTTCACTATGTTTGTCAGCACCAGACTTGTCGTTATCAATGAAGTGGTTAACGTCTCAAATATTCGTCATTTCGGGCGTTCCTAACCCACCAGTGTGACACGCCACGCTATAACTGAAACTCTGCCCAAAGCAGTCCTACACCCAAATCACTCTCTTGGGTGACGTAACATTTAATCAAATTACGCACTTACTTTCAGACGGATGAGCACCAAGGGTTATGATGAATCCCATGAAAGTGATCTCCCTCTTCCGCCGTCGTTGGGCATCACAATCAGGTACACGTATGTCTTTGATATAACACGTGTTATCGTTGATGCAAGGCAACAAGTTGGTTTCTTCTCTGGCGCGCAGTAAAACCTTAGACTTCCGGTCAGCCTCGTTGCCATCTACGCACTCCAGGTCTTCATACTCCTCCTGGAATTCTACCTCTAATTCATCAGCATTCTCTATTGCTGAAAAAGAACACTAAACTGTCATAGATGTCTTCTTTGATTGGCATTCTAGAAGTTGGGTAGATGAAGAATGAGGACTATTTTTATGGATATACAACTTCTTTATAATTCTATATAGGCGACGTTTCGACATAGATTCTAATGCCGTTTTCGACATTAGAATCTATGTCGAAAGCCTATATAGAATAAAGAAGTTGTATATCCATTAAAATAGTCCACATTCTCCTTGTCATAGCTGTGTTTTCGCATGTTGGTTGGGTAGGAACTATTCAGAAATATACCAGCTTCATGACAATACAGAGTATTTTCTACTGTTTGGAATAACATTCCGTTTTACACCCGACGTTCCCTGGGTATGCCGGATGTTCTGAACTTGTGTAGGGGTGAAGACAATGGCTCATACGTTCTGATTAAAAAAAGATGATATTCTTCAGATATCCAAACATCTCCGCTTACAGTAATAACGAAAAAGAAAACAAGATGTGTGCCACTGTTGCACATTTTTTAAAGGCTGCGCAAACCCATCAAACTCAAAAACCCGTGAAGATCCGGGTTAGAATTGGTCTTCAAAAACCCAGGCTTGTTAGGCGACCAACGGGATCGGGATGTCAGGCTGGCTGACTTGGTTGACACATGTCATCGCATCACAATTGCGAAGATCGATGTTGGGAGGGCGAAAAAGCAGAGTGACAAGCAGCTAGCGGTCACGTGGGTAGTTGGCGCTCAGCCTGGGAGAGGCCCGACTGGGCTGAGCTATTTTTTACTGTTCATTAAGGAACAATAGGACAGAGGTTTCCACTTGGATTCGGAAAGAAAAGGGAGATAAGTTACAACGTATGAGTCAGGATAAGGAAAAATAAACAAACACTCACTCATGTCAGCCACCAAACCTACCGACACAGTTGGGGAATCGTCCATCTGGGTTGTCCTCAGTAACATAACTCCATTCGTATCCCGTCTCCTGCCCACACTTATAGACAGACAACGGAGGTCGGTCGAAGTCATAGCCGTCGTCACATTTCAGCTCACACAGTCTTGTACTGTTGACATCCCTGCATTCCAGATCACCGTGATCAGGGGCACTTACTTCTGCACAGACTGTAGATGACAAAACACTGACAGACTGAGTATGGTTTTACGCTATTTTCAGCAATATTCTAGCAATATCACGGCGGGTACACCATCAATGGGCTTCACAAATTGTACCAATGTGGGCAATCGAACCCGGGCCTTCGGCGTGACGAGCGAACGCTTTAACCACTAGGCTACCCCACCGCCCCGCGATGACAAAACAAAACGAGGGATAACGATAAACTGGTTAGGGACGTCTTTCAGAATCAGCAGATGACTCAGTGAAATAATCACATATTAGCTTTGGAATACGATAATAATATGGACACTGATTCCTTAGAAATTTGAAAGCATTTTGTGGTGATTTTATCTTTACGCACCATTTTATTTTATTGCTGACAATTTTCAGATCTTTGAGGAGGATAAATTGCCGAAAAGCAAGCCATCAGTTCTATGAGAGCCGACTGTAAATAATCGAGGCAAGGATATGAAGTGGATGATTATGGTACCTGGACATTCTCCTGTATTGCAGAGCCCGACCTCTGTTTCTGAACCCTCGCAGTCGTCTCCGCCATTTTGTGGTTGTGGGTTATCACAACGTCTGGCGCGAGTTCTCTCCCCTGGTCCACATGACGTGGTACACTCTGTCCAGTTTCCCCATCCGGTCCATTGTCCGTGAACTACAAAGTATTGTTTTGGGTATATGTTTCAACACAAAGGTACGCAACAAGTTATGATAACCATGCTAACATGATTATTATCAGAAGAAGCTCAGGTTGTGCATTTGTGTTGGTTTGGTTGAGCAAGGGAGATAACTCTTTGGATAAATTGTAATATAGAAAATAGCCATTCGTCCCCACTCGTCCCTTTCCATAACCTCAAGGAATATCGGCATGTCCCGGAATAAAATGAGTGGGGCACGCTTGAGAAAATAACTCATCTCTAAAGTTGTCTTTCCAGTATATTTGCTAGTTCGTTTGCAGGTTGGCATTGCACTTAGCAATATTCAGTAAAGAGACAATATGTTATCTATATAGTTTGGACCAAGTCAACCTGTCATTGGAGTCACCATTCCAAGTACATGTATTAGGAATGCGGTGACATTCAGTCTTACCGCAAACATTAGTTGCGAAGGTGGAATGCTAATTCCCACCTTCATGTAACGCCCCACAGAATTACCTAAATTAGCATCGCAGTACTGCCCTGTGTACTCAGGCGTACACCTGCACGTGTATTCCACCACACCGTCGACACACGTGCCCCCATTAGTGCACTCGTTCTCCACACAGTCATCTATATTGACGTCACAGTTGTCGCCTTGGTAACCAGTATGACAGGTACACGTGTAGCTATTCAGCTCATCGTTACAATCTCCATGGATACAAGGTGAGGATAGGCATTCATCTGTGTCTGAAATACAGAACCGTTAGTTCACTTTAAGGTCAATCTGACTCCATATTATTTAGTGTTCTATATCTCCATTGTTTTATAAGAAATATCATGGACACATTCGCCAAAATAGCTACGTAAGCGAAAAATAGCCATTCCAATCAATATTACACTATTTCCATTGAAAAATACAATCCTATAACCGATAGACAACTCCCTATGCTGCACATCGTCTTTAGTAGCCTACTACCTGAATGTGGTAGGTCTCGTCGTTTTTATGTTCTCATGCGGGATCATACGCTGCCAGTGAGATGGTGAGCGAGTTTAACACTGCTGTTGGAAAACACCAAATGCCGTTTACGTTTAAAGACGCTTTTGAAAAAGTATATGAAATGCTTTTTGACGTTAATGTGGTTGGAAGTGCAGCGTGCAGACAAGGGTCACAATGGAGTGAACCTCTGATTGGAATCCATTACATGAGAAACCAGGACACAACTCTACACAACGAATTGCAGCTCATGAGCTCACCGTCGCCCCGTGCCAAGCCTACCTGTGTTAACCTGTAGTAAGGATTGTTACCATAGTGGTTACAACATTGACTCCTGATGCCAGTGTTCGACAACTCTGATTATCTCACAGTTCTAAAACGAAGATAACTCATTTCAGAGGTATGTTCATTTTCTCTGCAAAGCATTAATCTGAAACCCATACCGTCACATTCACTGGGGATCTGTATAAACGATTCAGACTGGTTTGCGGATGTGAAGACGTCCCAGTTGATGACGTCTCCGACGTCTCCCAGGAAGCACGTGTGTGACGGTGGTGAAACGACACTCTGGGGGGACCGCCACATGTTCAGCTGGGAGACACCCCCTTCAAAACCAGCACCTGTTGACAAGACCACGATCTCAGGAGTCACCATTAAGTGTGATAGTGATCAACTGGCATATCTATGACAGTAATCAACTCACATATCTATGATAGTGATCAAGGTATATCTATGATAGTGATCAACTCACATATCTATGAAAGTGATCAACGTATATCTGTGACAGTAATCAACTCACATATCTATGATAGTGATCAATTTAGATATCTATGATAGTGATCAACTCACATATCTATGAAAGTAATCAACTTACATATCTATGAGAGTGATCAACTTACATATCTATGATAGTGATCAACTTAAATATCTATGATTGTGATCAATTTAGATATCTATGATAGTGATCAACTTACATATCTATGAAAGTGATCAACTTACATATCTATGAAAGTGATCAACGTATATCTGTGATAGTTATCAACTTACATATCTATGATAATGATCAACTTACATATCTATGATAGTGATCAATTTAGATATCTATGATAGTGATCAACTCACATATCTATGAAAGTGATCAACGTATATCTGTGATAGTGATCAACTTACATATCTATGATAGTGATCAACTTACATATCTATGATAGTGATCAACTTACATATCTATGATAGATATCAGCTTACATATATGTGGTACAATCAACTGACATAACTATGATAGTGATCAGCTTACATATCTGTGGTACAATCAACTGACACAACTATGCTAGTGATTAACTAACATATATATGGTAATCTATCTATCTCTGTTTGCATCCTGAGTTAAGCGTCTCACAGAAAGTATGCGTCAACATCATGGCCGACTGATTCCAGACATTTCAGATGTTGGTTATTTTCTTTCTTTATATATGAATATCTTTTATCTTTTAATGTAAAACATTAGGAACAAATGACGAAAAAAAGACTTACCACCCATGGAAACTAAAATGTTTTGAGCATCGTTAGCGTCAAAAGATACAGAATGTGAGAGACTGTGAACCCCATCCACACTGACGGAGAGTTGATGGTTGATGTAGCTAACATCTGTCTGATACCACTGGCTGGCGTCAAGGCCTGGCACATGCAGCACTGTCCTGTTCAACAAATAAGGTTCATACTTCATCCATATTAGGCAACGATACCCCGAAAATAACGGCGATCCTTCTGCGTGATTCACATAACTTGCACATATAGATTACGTGTCACCTGCGCTGTTTTAGAAACAGTAACTTTCGCTATTTTGAAAGTAAATTGGGATAGATACCCAACATTCTTCTTCTTTTTTTAATCATGTCCCTTTACGGTGTGTAGATTTAAAATAATATATATTTAAAACACAAAATTAAATATTTCTTCCATATAATTTTGGGGCGGTGGGGTAGCCTAATGGTTAAAGCGTTGGCTCGTCACGCCGAAGACCCGGGTTCGAATCCCCACATTGGTACAATGTGTGAAACCCATTTCTGGTGTCCCCCGCCGTGATGTTGCTGGAATATTGCTAAAAGCGGCGTAAAACCAAACTCAGTCAGTCAGTACATATAATTTGATATAATGTAAAATCGCCCTGATAATAAGTTTCCGAATTAACCAATCAAGAGAATGTAATTATGACCGTTTAATTACATGTACAAGTATACAGAGACACAAGTCCCGAGAGTGATCAGGTTAGGTGGGGTCTCTGGAAGAATTCAATCGCTCAACACAATTAAACATTTGCATTTGAAAACAGGACGAAGTTCATTTACTTTTCGAGACGTCGGGGTAGCCCGTAGGTTAAATGTTAGCACGCCTAAATCCTCGGTTCAGTTTCCCAGATTTCTCAACATAAGAGCTCCACTTTTTGTGTCCCCCAATCCTCAAATACAACATTCTTTCCTGCCAATTTTGTTTTGTCGTAACCACTTATTGAGAAACTTACCCGTTAACCTCTAGTTGCATTCCGTATGTAGTGCTGATGGAGACAGACAAGATACCCTTATCTCCATGTGTCAGAGAGATGACGTCCCCTGCTGACTGATACGTCAGCCAAAAGCGAAGTTCAAATCCGTTTTGAATTTCAAAATCTTCTGTGTCGACTCTGAGCTGAGCATTGGCGGTTTGAGAAGGAGACATAACCACGTCAAACGCTGTTAACATAAGGATGTCAAGTTACCAAAAGGAATTTTACACACGGCTTTAAAACACCTTATATATTTTCTGTGAAAGGGGTCCGACTGCAATTTAGGCAAATGGTTATGTGAAGCGATAAGATATTCGGCTTCACCTAATGGACACAGCTTTTATGAAATATATGCCTGATTCCTTCTGACCCCTCTCTTTTTGATATAAATATTCCAAACTTCTGCTTGCAAGGCAGGTTTCTCAAGACTTCACAGATTTGAGGGGGTGGGGGTGTGGGGTGTGGACGGCTAGCCCGGTCATGTATAATTCGTCATTTGATTCGCAGTTCTGTACAGCCAGAACTTCTGATTGTGGGTTCGTAATACAGTTTGCGGTCATCATGTGTCAATGTTTGTCAACGGACTCAACACCATATACCGTTGCTCTAAACGCTCATCCTGCCCAGTCCTCTTGCCGGTCAGGATAAACGTAAACATATATATCATTGCCAGTTACACTAAAACCAAATTGTGTGCCTCGAGTTTTAACATATAGCGATGTGCACAACCTACGTCGACAGGAGGTGACACTTTCTGAGCCTTGGGATACCGTGGTCATGCTACCCGAGCAGGCTGTGCATTCTGTAGAACCAAGGCGGTCAGTGTACTGGCCTGGACCACACGGTGAGCAAGGCTCAACACCATTTGCTGAGAAATGACCAAGTCCACACATTGCTGAAACACAAAAGCAATAATTAACATCCTTCTACTTTTTATTGATACTTCTATAAAGTTCATTGTATGTTAAGCGTCATTGTATGTCAGGTAAAACATTTTGTACAAAGTAAAACGAGAGAACAGTTGTCTCCTTTGTGAGTGCCAGAACATTCGATAGATGATTCAGTCATCCCAGCCATGACAGTTAGCTGTGCAGACATGCATTCCCTTGGACAGGTCAGAAACCTATGCATAATCATGGCTTAGAACCCTGGTTCGACCCTATGTATCTGGAGTTGACCAAAGTTGTCAAGTATAAGACCCACATCTCTTTGGGTTTTTCGTCCTTGATGCCATGTGTGAGCCAATCTTGGCCTCCCATATGTCGGGAATTTTGTTTAAAGTATCATGAAACAATACTTATATACTCTTTAACGGCTTTAATTTTATATTCGGAAGTCTAGAGAGGCTTACGAAGACATCGATCAACGGTTGTAGTCTTATTTTGTAAGGTTGTCATTCCGTCTGGACACTGGACACACCCACGACCTTCAGCCTCGGGTTGGTAGGTTCCAGTAGGACATTCCTCACAGCCGTTGTCGTCCTCGGAGTAGTATAGACCCTCACCGCAGCCAACTGCAATAAGACGAGAGAAACATATGATATGATATACAGATGCGTTAATGTCGCATTCATCGGTGTCAGACATCAAGCTCTGTAACTGACACGTACTAAAGAATAGGTACATGTAAATTGGGAGACACCATTGAGTATACCAAGACCTCAATCATACGGTATACATGAGATGATGCATTGGGATCAGGGTCCTTTTTAGAATGATTTATTGCCAAGTTCGCATTTTTGGGCATATACAGTTACCGGAAAGGCCGTGGGGTTTCGCACAGCGAGTCTAGGAAAGAAAAAGCCATACGTAATCCTCTGTAATATACTGGACAAAAATAGTTAGGGATATATGTAAAGTTTGAAATTATGAATAATGATCTATTTATTCGTTGACACACTGATAAAATATCAATCATAAAAATACCAATATCCTTTACTTATTTTGTCCAATATATGTTTACTGTAAATGCCAACTATATCATTAGCATGACTCACGATCAAATAGTGGCCATACTCGATGTTCAATGTCTCGCCAGGGTTACGAGTCAAAAAACATAGGTAAATGTTTTTGTATCAATAAAATAAACAATAAACCCTTGTTGATGGGTTATTCCTGAAGACCCGATCATTCCAAGTTTGCTACCTTTAAGTTAAAGATATGTTATGTATTATCATGTACCTACCGCAGCTATATGTATTATACGATGGGAAGGTTTGAGGAGGGCACTCCAGGTCAACCGTTGGCCTTCCTATAGCCATCACAGCTCGGACTTCCTGACTGAGCTGAGGAAACAGTTTAGAGTTGTCGCCCTTTATGTCATCAGTAATGTGACTGTACAGATTCAGAAGAGTCGTCTCTGCCTCCTTAAAGGTCTCTCTGGACGCGTCGCCATTGAGGGCCAGAAGGATGTCAACTTGCACTGTCACACGAGTTTCTCGCTTTCGCTTCCCATGATCAGAAGAGCCGCAGGACACCTTTCATTGAGGTCAAAAGGTCAACCGTGAACGTAATATAAGAAATTAAAATATCAAACAAAAACAAGAAACAAATGAGATATCAGGATATCTGAGACGATGACACGCTATCGAACAAGTCTCCGAACCTGACCACCTGATCCACGAAGTCGCCTAATACCACAACCACTGGTTGCAATGTAACATTCCTGAAAACAAACCCGGCGCTTTCTTACCCGGAGCCTAAGTGTGGGTCGGGAATTCGGAGACGAACTGGCGTGACCCCCCTTTTATCCATATTTCAGTCATATCACGGCATGACAGATTGTAGAAGGCGTTAGCCATCTTCATGAGCTCAATGAGTTAAAGTGACACAATGTTATAATTGACTGACTGTAATACATGTATAAAAGGGTGACGTTCAGCACTATACAGTTGTACATATGTAAATAAATCTATAAAATATTGACACAACTCGAATTTCCGCGCGTTTCAACTTTACCTTCAGAGATTTGGGGGATTTCTTAATGTATATATTCATATATATGAGATTACTGTACGAAATTGAGACGTTGCTTACCTTGACATTGGCAGTCGTCCTCCCTGTCTGTCCGATAGTTTTTAGGAAAGGACTCAGATTGAAAGCCTTCTGGAAGTTTGTTTTTATTTGCTCCTGGGCATCTTCCTTCGTGCATTGACCATCGTAATAGAAATGTACTGGCATTATTGCGTCCGTTGGTCTTCTAGATTCTGTGAGCAGATGTTCACGAAGACATCAACAATTTAGTCTTGCAATTTCACGCGAAATTTGGTCAGTTTATATTTTATCGAATCACGGATAACTCCAATAATAAACGTTTGTCTATTTGAAAAGTTCTTTTAGCTATTTTATTTCCTAAAATGTTATTTTTTCTGAAACAATTAAAATATCCATTTGCAAATAAAACTGTTTGTATCAAAATATTCTCTCCTAAAAAGGAATCGCATCATAAAAATAGCAATTTCATGTAGCAAAGAAGTAAAACGTGATTCATTTTACAAAAAGTTTTGCTCTGTTTATGAGTCCTATGGTGTTTATGTTTTGCAACATCACGACAAAACGCACCATCCGTAAAAATACCCGTTTTTAACAGCATGATTTTCAATTTCGGCGTGTAGTGTCATAGAATACACAATTCACATGTAATGCACGTGAAAGTTGACGATCAGATAGTCTCAAAGGTGGGTATAAAAGGTTGATCGCGGTCTGTCGATTATTCACTGTATTTGGAATATGCAAAATGCCACGTCTAAGTGAAGCCAACCGTCATATCGCCATTGGTTTGCTTGAAGCTGGCCAGTCTCAACGTGCAGTTGCCCGACGCATGAATGTTCACCAAAGCACCATTTCACGGCTCTGGGAGAGATATCGCCGGCAGAATGCGGTAGCAGATGCCCACCTCGAGCGACCACTGCGGCGCAGGATCGCTACATCCGGGTACATCACCTGCGTCATCGAACAGCTACGGCGACCAGTTCCGCTGGACAAATACCCGGATTGAGGAGGCTTTCTGCACAGACCATCAGGAACAGGTTGAGAGAGGCTGGTTTACGTGCCAGAAGACCTTATTTTGGCCCTGTGCTTCGACAACAACATCGTCGACATCGAGTTCAATGGTGCACCAACGTTCAGGCTTGGAACCTACCGAATTAGCGTAGAATCTGGTTCAATGATGTATCACCCGCGATGGAAGAATGCGGATGTACAGACGTCGACGTGAACGTTTCGCATTCCCCAGGTGGACAGATTCCGCCGGGGAAGTGTTATGATGTGGGGAGCGATCACCGGCCGTAGGAGAAGTGATTTGGTGATGACCCAGGGCAACCTGACAGCTCAACGGTACTGTGACGAAATCGAACGCCCACACCTCTTTCCAATCATTCATCGCCAGAAGAAGTTGTTTCAACAGGACAATGCCAGGCCCCACACAGAACGTCACACTAGACACTTCCTCCAGAACTACAACATCAATGTGCTCCCCTGGCCCTCAAGATCACCGGACTTAAACCCGATCGAACGTCTGTGGGATGCCCTGGACAGACGGGTTCGACGCCGTTACCCTCAGCCCCAGACACTTCAGCAACTCGCACAGGCACTACAGGCAGAGTGGGCTGCGATTGGATAACACGAGACTGAGATTTATTCGTTCGATGCCGAGGCAATGCCGTGCAGTTCTAGATGCTCACGTTGGTCACACGAGGTATTGACTTCAGCGCCACCACACGTCTCCATGTGATACTCAAACTGACTTTCCTCGAGTTGGTGCCAAAGACGGATAAGTCTGCATTCCCAGTGTGCAATTTCGCTATATTTTTAATTGACTCATAAAGCCTACAAGATGTTTCAAAATAAACATATAAATGCAGTTGAAATTCCTATATGCGTTTCATTTTTTGGAGAGTATATTATGAAGATATATGTATGCTGCAATGGAGACATATGTATTACATAAATGAAATATTGATGGCAAACTTACTTGTACAAGCTGGTAGTGGGTCATCAATAGTACGCTTATTAATCTTCCAGTCCCCCGACTTCGCACATACCATTAGGTTCCCGTAGAATGCTGTTGACCTTGTCAGGTCGGTTCCACGCGAGCACTGCATCTGACAGAAATGGCCATCTTCCCATAGGTCACATGCCAAAGCTCCGTTGTGAGGTGGCGTTAAGTCTCGACACGTGTTAAACACTGCAAACAATTTATTATTCCAACATCTCGTTTGTCACAAAGTGACAATGATGAATAGCAAAATAACTCAATATCAGGAACAGTTCATTAATATCAATAATGTTCGCGACAATTTGAGTGAGTCAGTGAGTTTAGTTTTACGCCGCGCTCAGCAATATTCCAGCTATATGGTGGCGGCCTGCAAATAATCGAGTCTGGACCAGACAATCCAGTGATCAACAGCATGAGCATCGATCTGCGCAGTTGGGAACCAATGACATGTGTCAACCAAGTCAGCAAGCCTAACCACGCGATCCCGTTAGTCGCCTCTTACGACAAGCATAGGTTACTGAAGGCCAATTCTAACCCGGATCTTCACGGGTCTCGCGACAATGAATACCCTGTACCAAACAACATCTGCTGTTTGATATTACGATATTGTTGTGTACAGGGTAGTCAACGACGTGTAGGGGCGGTGAGGTAGCCCTGTAGTTAAAGACATGATTCAAATTTAGAATTGTAACGATTCCCGTGGAAAAGAATACAATGCCCGTGGCAGAAATTCACACAGACAGTTTTATTTCCATATATGAGGCCATAATCCACATTACAGTACATTTCCACGTTTTATTTGATGCTGGTAAATCAGTAGCAATCATAAAATATTGCCAGAGCGTTTGTAAAATATAAAACATTTCTGCAAAATGTATAGGCATTATATATCAAATGATGATGACATCATCCATAAACCTGATGCTAAAGGTAGCCATCAAACGACAACCCAAAGCTGGACGACTTTAAGGAACATGTGACCTCATTTTTGTCATAATGGAAAACCAAAACACAAGTACATACTTGTATAGAAAGTCCAGCAATGTTAATAACAATATAACGCATGCCAGTTTGGGGATGATAAATCTCTCAATACGTTCGATGGCTATCTCCAAAATACAGACGTTTACTTACCACTGCATGAGGGTTGTGAGGACATGTCCCAGTACGGGTAGGATACTCCACTGACAGAGTTGGCTACTTCACACGTAGTCTCCTTTGCACCTTCTAAGATGTAGTTACTGGTGCAGCTGAAGTTGCAGGTAGACCCGTGCCGGTAGCCGTCGGGACAGTCCACCCTCATGTAGGGAGCGGGTACTGGGCGAAACATTTCAGTTCTGAAAATACGGACATTCTTTTGAATTTTGTACGTGTGTAATGAAATAACTACAAAAATTACTGACAAACAACGATTTGCTTACAAACATTAATGGTCACAAGGTCTGTTTTCAGAGTTACAATCTCGTCAGCAAGGACAGAAACTCTTTCAGTAAATATCAAAACTGGTTTTATTGATGAACTTAAGCTCTTATCCATGACAAAAGCTCATGGCATAAATACATGCACCCCATATCCCAGTCACATAAGTTTCCAAGTTCTAGATAGACCTTTAAACTGATCATGGCCCTCGTTCTGGCTCTACCTTTGACCACGACCTTGAACTTGCATTCCCTGGCCTCGTTTCTGGCGCTGTCCTTTGCTGTGTAAATGATTTCATACACCCCCACCGGATGGTAGTCTGTGTTAGATATACCAGAGGTCTGTATAGGCGTGATGGACTCCTGACTGTTGTCTGTGGCGGTTGGAACATCCCAGTCAACTAAAGCCAGAGATGAGCTCCTTTCTGTGTAATAAGTCTCAACGCTAGGGCAGCTGGTGAACTTTGGAGGTTCTGAATCTGAAGCATGCGCACAAATTCCCTTGTGGTGACTCGTGGTTACAATCATTCTCTTCCCACAGAGGTTACTTGTCATATCTTCCTACGAACCTCTGTTCTAATAGGGCCATATTTCCCGGCTCTCGTAAAATCCCCTAGCGGCAAAAAGTCGCAACACGAATTATCTCCCTTCTTTTTATCCAATCAGAACAGGTGTTACGTCGACTTAGATCCAGCTTGACTAATACAAACAAATGTGGGGCCACAAATGTCCCCCATCAGCAGGGAATAGTGTTGATGTGACCCACAAGACATTTAATGGCTAGCTGGTCCGTTGTCAACGAGGGCGATGGAGATGCCATTGATCCGCCATTACATGACTGAGTTCTGTCTTGAAGAAACGTTTGCAGGGGAAGAGGTTCTAGTTTTCCCGAAATTAACAAGGCCTTGCGAATGATCACTTTTGAAACAACGTCGCTGATTGCATAACTAAATATGATTGCAACTAATGACGAACCCTGAACACTCGCACCATGAAAGGGCCGTATTAGAACAGAGGTTCGTAGGAAGATATGACAAGTTGCCTCTGTGGGAAGAGAATGGGTTACAATAGGACATCACAGCCGATGGAAGAAGCAACGGTGAACTGCCGGACCGAATGTCATCGTACCCACTCACCTACACATTCCGGAACGGCACCTCGCCATTGACCATCGTATGCGCAGACTCTGACACGTGACTTTCCAGGTTTTACGTCATATCCGGTTTTGCACGTGTAGGAACATGCGCTCTTGAAGTTAGTGCTATCAGTGCACATAAACGTGGCGTCAGGTGCAATGGATTGCGGTGGACACGTGACAGCTGAAATATGGGTACAAGGGTAGCAAAATATTTGGTTCACACTTCGGGTTGACTGACTGAAGACAAATGAAATATTAGTTCTTGCGCTGCTCATGAATTCTGGTTTTAATAAAGAGCAGTTTTAGTATGTATTTGGCATTTTTTTTAATACAATAACTCAGTAATAAAAATAATAACAGATATTTAAACATGTGTATTTATATATACAATCCAACCAAATTTGAAATCCTAATTAATAATCACAGTCATTCATTTTTTTACATCTTGTTATCAAAGTTGTACTGTAAGTGGAATTTGTCATAATGTGTGAATTGTTTAAATTACATATTGAAACTAGGATACTAATAGTAACTACAGCTTGTTCAGGTTGACCTGATCCAGTGAATACTAATGCATTGCGTGACCTTGTCACATCTGGTTGGGTCTATTATTGTGTAGGGGTGCAGCTTTGTCAGTTGATTGTCAACACGTTCGAACAGCCGAGGCAAGGTCGCCGTTTGACATCTCAGTGTCGAGAAATCGCCATGATCAGCAATGTCTTTTTTTAAAAAAGAAGCTACAGATTGTTTAATGTTTCCGATTCGGGCTTTTAGGCAGCGAGCAGCAGCAGCAACTGGGTGTAGAGAGTGAATCGGATTGTGAAAGTAACTGACGTCTGCACATTGTAAAGTTAGTAAACCAAACTAGACAGCATATGACAGCATAAACAATTCAGTTAAAACATGAAATGATTGTTTTTTCAGAAGTGTTGTTTTCCAGGACAATTTCTGTAACGAATCCATGTATGCATGAACGCAACATTAATAACATTCTCTGCTCCCCTATTTAATGACCTGTCGTTTGTGCCATTTGACCTCCCGGGTCATGCATATGTAGAGTAGCTCAGGTCAAGCTGAAAAGGCTGTAACGCTGCTGCTGAAGCATGATAGTGCCAAACAGGTTTGCTAACTAGCTGCATGACAATACAATCTGTGTCACAATGAAACTGGGAATGTATTTTCAGTTTCCTTTACCAGGCACGTCCATCTTTGGGAAGACATGGGCATATTCAGTGCTGAAGTATTTTTACGTTCGTAGAAAAAATACGATTAAGAAATCTTGAATTAAAATGTTCTTTGATCACATGAGGAATGATTGGTGTAACCCTTACTTTCACAGGTCGGCTCTAACGTCGTTGACCATTTTCCACTTTGCCAGCATTCTCTGCGCTTTGAACCCTTTATCGTGTAACCATAGTAACAGCCGTAGTTGCAGCTGGTACCGTAGACGAAGTCGGCGCTTGGATGGCAGACATAGTAACCGTTCCTGAAGGTCTTGCTTGGCCCAGGTGAACATCTGATGGCTGCAGAATATTGTTTATAAAAAGGCACACAAAAAATTGGTCATATCACACGAAGTATTGTATAAGGTTTACATGTGAACCAGAAGTCAGACCAATCAGGTCACAGTTCTAAGACGTGGGTGTCTCCTGACGCACAAGGATCAATCTTTGATATTCTCCAACCATCCATTACATACAGACTTACAGACGTACAAGTATACGTACTCACAGATATGTCTGGACAGAGTTAATTCTTTATTCCGAAAGTCGGAAATCGCATATTATAGCACAAGGTTGTCTACTAATCTAACTTTAATCTTTATCACTGAAGATGAATGTTTCTGGCCTGCTTGTGTAGGACGTACTTGTCACATTGACTGTCATCACACATGTGCCCATGTTCCCCGCACTGTCTGTGGCTGTGTAGCTGATGGGTGTACTTCCTTCACTAAACAAGTACCCGGACCGCTTCCTGCTCGCCCGTCTTACCCTGTAGTAGAGATAAACGTATGATTTTGGTTCAATAGGGTTAACTTCAGAGCTCAAGTGGAAACAAGACGGTTGGTAGCCTAGAGCTCGAGATGTCGATTTCCGATATGAGTACTCCGCCTTGGTATTGCTGGAATATTGCTAAAAGCGGCTCAAAACTAAACTCACTGACTCATGTGGGCAAGGCAAATTTTGTTAGATGAGATGGAAAGTTCAGCACCCTTCTATGTGGCCTGAGACGGAGGACCCTGGTTGCGGGGATAGGGGTGAGGGTGGTGGCCTGACTGGACTGGACATGTGGATATCCACATTCGATCAGAATGGAAAATAGCATGTAACCCAGTTGACAAATAACAGCCTAAGGGTTCTTTATCTCGATACATTTCTAGACACATACGTCACACTATATCTATCTTAAAACAGCGAGTCTTGAATTTACTAAATAAAGCAAGTCATGAAATTAGTGTGAGAGTACCAACAACGCTGAGCAGAGTTATCTTACGCAACATGTCCATCTTTGTTGTCGTAGGCTGACGCATCGTCGTCGTTCCAGTACACCTTCGTACTTGTTTGGATTGGGTCTGAGAACTTACGGATATCCATTGGACAGGTGACCACTGGAGGAGATCGGTCTGTAAACAAGTGGAGAACATTACATCAGGCGAAAACAGTTGACTCCAGTTTCTCATGTATGATTCAGTCCACATATAATAATACAAACTGATTTATTTCTTACAGGAAAACACTTATTATGGGGTATAATTCTCCACGACCTGGTTTGCCGAACAACGTGAACCAATCGCCTGATGATTTGCTATTATCTCCATCGTTTTATAGACATTTACCGCAGTTTACGGCATTTTAAGGGTAATCTACGACAACCTGCGTCGATCAGGGGCAATCTCCGTCGATTTATAAAAAAATACTAAAGTTTCCGGCAATCTGTTAGTAATCCACGGGAATGTGCGACGATATTCGGATATCTACGGCAACTGGCTTTATCACGGATAATGTGGGCACTGTTCTGCGCCAGTAGCGATCGCCACAGATTAACTACAGTGATATACGTCATTTTCGGCCACTTATCCATCATAGGAAGTGAGTTAAAGTTTTCGGACTGCTAATTGTAGCAGGTGCCTCTATTACAGGTTCCAACAAACCGAGAGCTTGTGTTTTTTAATTCAGTGAACTGTCTGAGTTAGACAAATTTTATTAATTCAGTGTACACTGTATCCGAACATGAGGAAGAGCTACTCTATTACGTCACCTTCGTTTCATAAACGTCTCCTCTTGTATCCTGAAAATATCATTGCGAACGCCTAGCGATATTGGTATCATAATATGGAGTAACTCACAAGCATTTCAAAATGGCGAGATGTATTTGGAAAATGGCGCAATGTTGGTGGCATAATGGCGCGATAAGGACTGGTTGATTGTTTCGTAGTTTAACGCCGCACTCAGCAGTAGTCCAGCTATTTGGTGGCGGTCCGTAAATATTGAGCCTGGACTAGGCAATCCAGTGATCAACAGCATGAGCATCGATATACGCAGTTGGGACACGCCAAGACCACACGATCCCGTTCGACGCCTCTTACGACAAGATCGATTCCACACTCCGGCGCAGTGATGACTTAGCATAATATCACTGCCACAGGCTAATTTGCATATCACGTGACCGGACTTTTTCTCTTGTTTGTGAACAAACGCGCATATTCATTTAAGAAGAGACTGGCCTTACGCAAGTTTTTCCGCGCGCTCTTCACAGTGATCTACATTGTTACATATATATTCTTCCACAACTGCGACAGTAAGGTCTATGACAGAACATATTTAGATATTAAACTGGCTGCATAGTTAGCTCTCCATCAGCTTCGATGACAGCACGTGGAGCCGTACAACCTATGTAAACAAAGGATCGCTACGCAAATCGAAATAGTGTTACACGTTTTAGGATATTTTCTCAGTGAAACCAAACCATTCTATCAAAGATGTTTCATTAGATGTGTAGACTGGTCAAAAATACAAGAGTTAAGAAATATGTAGATTATATTGAATGGACGGTGCAAGATGTGACGACTCGTCACATCTTTCTGGCCTGTGGCAGAGGTACAATGCTGGCTTGCCGCATGGAACTCTAGGAAGGAGAGTGGAACAATTCTAGCCCTCTTAGGATAAGCCTGTGTTACTGAAGACCATTTTAACCCGTGTCGCGCTATAAGGAA